AATCTTTTTTCGGAGACTCATGTTCTCTTTATATCTATTCTCTTTTTTATACTTATTCTTTTCTATTTTATCTTTGCAAAAATATATATTTGAATATATATTTGAAATATATATATTTAAATATATATTTTTACTTTTTTCATATTCTATCTCATCTATAAATACATGGTAGGCTTTATCGGATGGGTACATACTTTTTTTAAATCAAATAAAATATAAAAACTCGGTCGCGAAAGTAAAATAAATTTAAAATAATACTTTTTAATTTTAAAACAACTGTCCCTCGCGTAAAATATTTGATAGATTTTAAAACTTTCCAAAGTAGGTAGGTAAATAGGTATTTGTGTAGGTAGGGATGCGTATCTACAAGCGCTTGTAGAAAATAAATTAGGCCGGGTAGGTAGGAAATATGTTAGGAAATATATTAGACCGGATAAGTAGGGAGAAATCAAAATGTAAAATTAGGATCAAGGCTGTTACGCAGCCTTAATCCTAATTAATAACGCTAGTAACGTTTAAGATATGTCTAAGATAGGTAGGTAGGTAGGATTATATATAACTATTTATATTATATTGTATTATATTGTATGTTTTATGTAATAAATGTGTAATAGAATTGTATTCTATTGTAATATGTATAAAAAAATTGTAAAATGAAACTTGGAAATAGAAAACTCACTGATAAAGAGTTTTAAATAAAAAAGCAAAAGCTATATTTCTTGGAATTGCAACTTTTCAGACATTATATTTGTGTACCGTTAAAACACCTTTGTATAATATACATGGTTTTTTATGTATTTTGTATCTATATATATATGTAGTGTTTTTAAGAAAATAAAATAAAATTTATCAAGCACAGAGCAGCAAATGATGATGTAAAAGGAGATGATATTTGACTACACTCCACGAATTCTGATGTTGCTCGCTAAAATAAGATTCTTTTTTTGACTATCACATCTTTTCTTGTATATCACATTTATGTTGTACGGAAAGTTGCAATGGTTTTTCTTATCCTTTTCTGTTTTCCTTTCTCATCTTCTCATCGCGAGATCGGTCATTTTAAATTTCAAAAAAAAATTAAATTCACGCTCTCGAATATACTCGCACACTTAAAGAAAGTGACCATTTAAACTCGTGCACATAGCACAGAATAGAACCGCACGCTGTGGACATAGCGCACCGACATGTCGCTCGCTGACTGGCTGCGTAGTTCCAACGTGTACCACCCGTGTACATGGCGCTAGTTTACGGGGCGGAAAAGTGATTACACATTCTCTTACCTGGCCGCTCTCAGGCTTCTCTCTGATGATAGACTGGATAGGAGTTACACGTGTTTGCCAAAACTGCAAAGAAGAAGAAGAAGGAGCTACACGTGATATGTGTCTAACCTCCGTTCAAAAGCGAAATAAATTTAATTATATTATTTTGAAAGTTGTGTACAAAAATGGCACGTAAAGCCGTGAAACGGAAACAAAGTAACTCGAAATCGAAAGAAAATGGAGAAAATGTTGCAGATAATGCGAAGGTACTGTTTTGTTGTAATGTATATTATTTCATATATTTTTATTGACGTGTGTGTGTTTGCGTGTGTAATATTTAATTTAAAAACCACATAATGTAATTAAGAGAAATATAAATAAGAAGAATAATTACATATTAAATATAATTTGAACGTAATTAATAATTTCTTACACATGTTTTGTGTATCCCAATGTTATTAACATGATAAGAATACATACATACTTTTTAGGATTCTGGCACAGAAGATTTGTTAGCAGTTCATATTAATGACGATGTGGATTCCACAGATGAAGAGATAGAAGAAGATGCAAAAATACCTGATTCAGATACGGAGCAGGATCATGTTGTTTTTGTTTCTGATGATGAAGCTGAAAATGTTGAATCTGACAATGTTGAATCTGAATCGGATTACGAATCTATAGACGCTGAGGATTTAGAAGATTCTGAGGCAGACAGCAGTTCTGATGAAGAAACACAAGAGAAACTGCAGACAAAACCAAAACTTGACAAGAGCAATTTAAAGAAGAAAGATAAGAGCAAAGAGCCTTTGGTATCCAAAAGCAAAGCATCGGCAAAAAAAGATATTGCGTCAAAAAAGAAAAGTAGTAAAAATATTAAAAGCTCTGCCGCAAAAACACAGACACAGAAGAGCGATGACAATGAAGATGCGTCTGAGAATGTAAATGAGGAAGATGAATACGAGTACGATAGTTCGGACGAGGAAGATATTCGCAACACAATTGGAAAGATACCATTGAAGTGGTATGACGATTACGATCACGTCGGTTACGATTGGGAAGGTAAAAAAATTCCGAAACCCGAAAAGGGTGACGAATTGGATAACTTTTTGAAGAGGATGGAGAATCCCGACTTCTGGAGGACAATAAAAGATCCTCAAACTGGCCGGGATGTTGTATTGAGCGAGGAAGACATAGATTTGATCGTTAGAATCCAAAAGCAAAAAATACCCGATGTTCAATTCGACGAATATTCGGTGAGTTGTAGCGCTGTAGTTTAATTGTTGTGAATATATTGTAACCGCGTTACATTGTATATGAATTTAAACACATATTTTTAATGTTAAATTACAGCCGTGGGTAGATTGGTTCACTTCTGAGGTGATGAAAACTCCGCTTCGCAAGTTCCCCGAGCACAAACGTTCCTTTTTGCCATCCAAAGTTGAAGCCAGAAAGGTGTCGAAATTGGTGCACGCTCTCAAGATGGGTTGGATGAAGTCGACTGCCGAGATGCAAAAGGAAAGAGAAAAAAATCAAGGACCACAGTTCTACATGTTGTGGCAGTCCGACGATCAGTCGGAGGAAATGCGCAGAATTCACAAGCATATTCCAGCACCGAAGAGACACTTGCCCGGCCACGCGGAGAGTTACAATCCGCCACCGGAGTATTTGTTCGACGCTAAAGAGCTCAAGGAATGGAACAAACTCAAGACGACACCGTGGAAGAGGAAATTGCACTTTATACCACAAAAATACAGTTCACTTCGAGAAGTACCGGCGTATTCTAAATACATCAAGGAGAGATTCCAGAGATGTTTGGATCTGTATCTGTGTCCACGAGCGTTTAAGATGAGATTGACGATAGAACCCGAGGATTTGGTGCCGCAACTGCCCAGTCCAAAGGATTTGCAGCCGTTCCCGACAAGACTGTTCATGATTTACAAAGGCCACTCGGATATGGTCAGAAGCATCAGCGCGGAACCCGAGGGTCAGTTCTTTGCATCCGGTGGAGATGACATGTTATTGAAAAGTGAGTTTGTCGCATATATGTTTCTTATACATATATTTACTGCAATTCAAATGTAATATATTTATCTCGAGATTTACTTCGAAAATTAAATTATATACGATGCATAACATTGTTTTCACGCAGTATGGGAAGTGAATACAGGCAGGTGTTTGAAAACAGTGCCGTGCGGCGGTATTATTCGAAGCGTTGCCTGGTGTCCGAACCAAGCGTTGTCCCTGATAGCAGTTGCGGTTGATAAGAAAGTTCTTTTGATCAATCCCGGAATCGGGGATGATCATGGTAACGACCAAACTGATAAAATCCTGTCTATAATACCGCAAAGTAACGTAAAAGGTAATCGACTGATCACTTGTTCGTTAGTTTTTCATTATCACAAATCTCTGAATATGAGACTAATGTGCTTTTTGGATCAATTAGTGTGCGAAAGAGTGCAAAGTGCGGTACAATGGGAACAGGCGGAAGGAGAAAATTGGAACAACGGAATTAGAATAATTCTGAATCATTTTAAAATTGTGAAGCAAGTTACGTGGCACGGAAAAGGGGATTACTTTGCTAGCGTAATGCCGGACGGTCAAAACAGATCGGTATTGATCCATCAATTGTCCAAACGAAAATCCCAATTGCCCTTTAGCAAATCGAAAGGATTGATACAGTGTGTTTTATTCCATCCAATTAAAACGGTTTTATTCGTTGCAGTAAGTGTTCAGCACCTTGGAACAACTCTCTAATACTTTCGGATTACATAGATCAAGATTTCATTTTTTTTTTTTTTTTCAGACACAAAGGAATGTACGAGTATACAATCTAATGACTCAGGAAATAATTAAAAAATTATACTCCAATTCGCAATGGATTTCAACAATGGCTATTCATCCAAGTGGGTGTGCGCGTTTTTATATTTGTGTGTACTTCGAATTAACAAATTTTTTACATTCACAATTGCTGGTGATCCACGCATCTTTCAGGAGGTGATGACGTCTTAGTGGGAACGCACGATCGCAAGATGCTGTGGTTCGATTTGGATTTGAGTTCGAAACCTTATCAAACGTTGCGATTACACGGCACCGGTGTGCGCGCTGTGGCGTATCACAAACGTTATCCTTTGTTCGCCTCGGGAGCCGACGATCGGGGACTCATTGTATCGCACGGAATGGTGTACAAGTAAGATAACTTTGCGGGGACGCGCGTGTGCGATCATCTATCCGAGTATCGTGTATATGACACACGCGCGTTATTATCTAGCGATCGATTTTTTTAACACTTAGAAGCGGTCTATTTCTCACACGATATAATTTTTATCGAATCTTTTGCAGCGATCTTTTGCAAAGTGCGTTAATCGTGCCGTTGAAGAGGTTGTGCAACCACGAGTCGTTCAATGATTTCGGCATCCTTGACGTTACGTTCCATCCCATTGAGCCGTGGGTGTTCTCTGCGGGAGCGGATTCTAACATACTAATGTACACATAAATAAATATATGTTCAGAGAGAAAATATCGCTTCGTACAAAATATATCACAATTTCGTAAGAAAAAATTATACACTATATATCGTCGTCACATCCTCTTCTTTCAAATTTTACGCAGAACTGGCGTTGTTGGTCTTATACTCTCGTGTGGGTGTACATGTATAAAAAAGTGCTTATAATATATAAATAATACTAAGTTGGACAATTGCACGTATTTAACAAAATTATAGGAACTTGTAATGCTCACATTCGTCAAAAGTTACGTTTTTATCTGTGTAAGACGTATAAATATTTTTTTTTTTAACGAATTGCATTTGCGTGTGCGAAGCGTGCGATGCTTTTCTTCCGTACCGGAAATGCGACCGTCACGATTTGAAAAAACTTTTTTTTTTTTCAATCACTACTGCGTCGATTCCAACTTGGCGTGAAAAAAAAAAACCTCGTTCTGTAACTCGCAACGATAAATTCGTTGACGAAACGAATGCGGTGTTGTGTGATACATTTTGTCTGCGCAAAGACAAAGTATTCGGGGAGCGCGTTAACCGCGCTATTGCGTCATTCTGTCTTTGTTTCACGTCCGACGAGAGATAAAGATGGAACGATACAATAGCGCGGACAGAGCGCGTTCCTCGAACGCAGTCGAGACGTATTCTCGTTAAAAGTTACAGAATGGGACCGCTAGTATCGCCACGAAACCGTGAGGGTATATTACGAGGAAGATTATCAAAGACGGTGTGGAAGTAATCGAGTCAAAATTATTTCAGAGGATTCGCATGCAAAAATTACGACGTAACAATATCTTTTGTATCTTCTCTGTGTGTCTGTATGGGTTGTTTTTTTTTCTCTATTTTCTGATCCGTTCACAAAAAAATACATTAAGACAAGGGAGAATGACCCAAGCACTGCCATTCCGGTTCGCCGCAGTCGCAAGTACGACCGGCGTGTCGAATCTGAAACACGGTCACGATACCCCGACTGTCGTCGAATCTGCACGTGATGTGAAGGTCGTGTATTAAAAAGGTGTAAAATTGACTACCCCATCTCTGTCTCAAATACACAGACCTAGGATCTTCCCTGAGCACGTTCTCTATAGCTTGTTTCTGTTCCTCGACTTTATCGTCCAGAATTTCGTTCAATTGCACCAGAGCGCGTTCGTTAAAAATCACCGACAATGTCGCCGTGCGAGGTTGCGATATCCAATCCGGCACTCTTATCTCGGAGAAGTTGCTCTCCGTCGCGGTCGGATTATTCGCCGGTTCGATTGTTGCCGCGGTTGTTGTCGCGTGAATGTCCGGCAAGGTTCGCGAGGGCGTCAAGCTCTGAGACTCGAGTCCTTCCTCGCCGTCGGGCGCTTCCCGTATTCCCATTCTCACGGGCGAATTGTCGACTCTCGTGTGCAGTACGTGACGATTTATCAGATCTACGTCGGTGCCGCAAACCGTGCTCGGACCATCCGCTCCGTCCAACAATCTCGAATTGCGCAACGTCTGATTCTCGGTATAATTTCTCTCGTTATTATCCTCCGCGTGCGCAATCGAATTCGCATCGTTCATATCTATGTCGCGCAATCTGCCGTTCAGTTCTCTGAACGTCTCCGCCTGCGAATCGACGGACGAATTTAAGTCCGATCTCGAGTCGGGTGTCCCGTCTTGCATGAGATATGTTTCTCTGTGTATAATATCCGCATTGGTGCCGCTTTGTAACGAGGTGATCGCATTTGCATGAGGTTCGGCTAATTGGGAAGATTGTCTCGCGACGTTGTACTCATCTAAGTACGGATACACTTCGAATTCTTCCGCCTGAAGTCTCAAAGCTATTTCCTCATCTCTGGAAATATCAATCTCAACCTGCTCGTTAGTGTTGACGTTTACCTCGTCATTGAAAGAGTCGGCCGACTGATCCCCGGTTGGAACCGAAGTCTCCTCTCTGTTGTGAAACATGTCCGAAATATTTACACTATTCTCTTGCAACCTAACCGATTTCTCGATATGTAGCGGACTGTCGTACTGCGGAATGTACGGTTTTATGTCCAAAACTGGAGTCTGATTCACCATGTCGACACCCTCAAAATAAACTACATTACTTTCGATTTTGAGAATCTTGACTAAACTCAGACCAATGGGACACGGCCGATGCGGGGACCGTGTAGAAAATACGCCAGTTCTCACGCCGTTCAATCTCGGCGGAGCCACTTTCGCGCGAGTGTGCGTTGAATCGTTTCTGTGGAAATAGAATAAAATCCTGAAAGAAAAAAATCAAACATCATTCAGATTCTCCGTGGTTTCATCGGTGGCATTAAAATTTTTATCGTAAAACAAAAAACTTATTCCACATTACCACATGTGAGAAAAATCCTGCAAGCCCTGTAAAGCGTGATCCGGATTTGTGAATACAGAGTTGTAAAGTGTTAGCTTTCCCGGAACTTTTCCGCAAACTCCAGGTTGTCGCGGGGTCGCTCGCTTGTTAGGAAACCAAGTGGAAATAATACCGATAGGTTTTAACTTGAGAGTGTCTTCGTCCTTGCTCGTGCCAGGTTTTGCCTCTTCCGAAGATATTAATTTGGTCTGTGGCAGAGTTTCTTTATCCTTTTGCACTTCCAAGAGATGTTTGATACTGCTAACATCTTTGTCAAATATATACTTGAGACCTTTTATCTGCTGTCTGTAATATATTTGTTGAATGAGGATGCAGTCTGGTGTAAATGTTGAATTTTTGTTTACACACATGGGGTCGTTTGTGAGATACAAGATTTTTGTAAACATATGTTACTGGAAACATGACAACAACTCATAAAACTAAGAGATATACAATTTATTTGTATAAATAAAATTATTGGGAAAATTTTTTCAGCAGAAGGAAAGAAATTGAACAAGAAAGAAATTTAACGTATATACATTTGCGTGAAAATGAATAAATTTTCATTAAAAAAATACCTCAAATTATTAATCTCTCGCCTGGCTGTGTTTAACTGGTCGAGCAAATATTCAGCGTTTAAGCTAGAATTCTGACAATTCAAGTCCATGTTTAGTATCGCTCGCATTCACCCCCGAAAATGTTTTTTCGTTTTTTTTTTCTCGTACTTGTGTGACAAAACCGAAATTTTTTTTATTATGGTTAGTTTGATCGCGCACAAAGTTTTTGGTTACGAAGCAGGCGTCATCTGGATGACGTCGGACGTGTTTCGTTGTGTTTGGCGGCAAAATTGCGGCTGCCGCTAGATGACAGGATCAACAGTTTAAAACTCATCACAGTCATCGAGAACGGAGCGGTTAATAATTGCACTGTTGTTGTTGTGTGTAATAGTACTTTTGCAATTTCGCTCAATCATTTGAATCATGACTACCTCGGTCAGCACAAATCCGTCTACCTTGTTGCCTTTAGGTAAAAATAATCTCCTCGCGGGCGAACTCGAAATGTTTTGCGAATTTTGTATTTCGTAACCTAAACGGTAACAAACGGTTTGGACACATTTTTTTAAAACGTCAACAAAACGTCATTTGTTTTGCAGAACTCGTCGACAAATGCATCGGATCACGGATACACATTATAATGAAAAACGACAAAGAGATCGTGGGGACTCTGCAGGGTTTCGATGACTTCGTGAACATGTTGCTGGAAGATGTGACAGAAAGCGAAGCGACCCCCGAAGGCCGCAGAGTCACAAAGCTAGATCAGATTCTTTTAAACGGCAGCAATATCACTATGGTTATTATCACAGTGTGCTATATCATATATCTCTTTCTCTCTCTGATTATTGACACTTAATATTTCTGGCAGATTACAGTTTTTTTTTTTTTTTTTTCTGTATCGCACGGAACGGCGAAATTCGATTTACACGTTGCTTTGTTTCTTCTCTGTTACAGTTGGTACCTGGTGGCGAGATGCCGGATACGTAAACTTTGGAATCGTACATTCCAGGCACGCAAGAAAAAAAGCCAACTGTATATCAACACTTTTTGTTCTTAAAATTGTGATAAAAGTACAAACAAACGGTAACTTAGTCACGTATACTGGATTTCTTAAGTTTAATTTTTGCTAAACAACAAATATCAACTTGTAATTAAACGATCGAGCGTATCAATTGTTTTCCTCAGCGTCGGTCTGTCCGCGATAATCTGCGACCACATCGTTCTGTACAACTCTTTGTAATTTCCATCAAATTCATCATCAAGAACCTCGTCGTTGGGACGCGTTCCTTTCGCGGAGATGTATATGACGGTGTGACTGTGCAATCCGTGAAAGGGCACCTGTCTGGACAGCATTTGCCAGGCTACAATTCCCAGTGAATAAACGTCGGCGGCGAACGTAGGCACGTCTCCTCTGAGAACTTCCGGTGCTGCGTAACCCGGTGTGCCCTGACGGGAAGAGAATAAAAAAATTTTTCTTCGTGAAAACAAAGCCAAGTATCCTATATATTCTATAGTTTTTTTTTTCTATTGACTAAGTTTTAAATAAAGATTTGACAAAACAAAAATAAAAATAAAGTTGTATACTCGCGGCTTGATCGAGTTGTGCGGCTCGCTGAGCAGTATGGAGCTACCGAAATCGGTTAGCTTCGCCTGATCATCGGCCATTAGAATATTGGTGGGTTTCACATCCGCGTGTATCACCCCGTGAGCGTGACAGAATTGGAGCGCGTGGGCAATGTCTCTCCAAACGGAGACACGTTTCTCGCGAGATAGCGCCGAATCCTGCAGTCGGTCCTGCAGCGACGTGCCGCACAATTCCATTGTTATCAGCGACAAGCTGTTGCCCTGTTCGATGTTTAATATTCTCACGATGTTCGCGTGTCGCAGAACAGTGGCGTGTTTCTCGGAGTTTATCGTCTCGTGGTCGTTTCCTTTGCGAGGAATCACTTTGGCAGCTACTTCGTCCCCTGACGAGCACACCACGACACAAGAAAATTGGAATATCGGAATTTTGAGCGAGACAGAGAGAGAGCGTAGGTGTTGTTAGAAGATACCTTTGTAAAGCGCTCTGTAGACAGTACCGAAGGCACCCGCTCCCAGCACAGGACGATGCTTCCTCGGCAGACCATTCCTCAGTATTTCCATTCTGTTGGGAGTATCGATATTAAAGGGAGACAGCAGCCTGTTACCTTCTGCTCTTCGTTGATTATTACCTGGAGTTTTCGGGCTTGAAAAACGTTTTCAAAAAAAGAAAAAAAAATTATCACACGTCGCTTTTTTGAAAATCAATCGACAACCGCGTGTTTTGAACCATTTCATTCCTACCTGGTGTTCAGAACGGTTTTGAGCGGCCGTGGTGACAGATGCTTCAATGCGGGCACTAATCTTCGCGGCGAGGCCATGTTTATACGCAAATGTAATTGCCATAATACATAAATTTCTCTATGTATAGAAAAAAAAAAACGAGGATTTACAGAATCAATTCTTGTTAACGCAATTCGCATGTGGTAGAAAACAATCGGGAACTTTTCATCGTATTGTTAGCGGAAAACACTTTATATCTCATCTCTCTCCGTCAGAACGAAAACGACGACGTTTCTTCGAGAATTTGTTCTTTCCGACTCTTGTACTGATGCTTCTTCATTGAGATTCCACTTGCCACGAACACATTCGAAGAACGATAGGCGCGAAAGAAGGGATGTGTTATACAATTGTACACGCGTACGTAATGTTTACGGACACACGTAACACATTTGTGTTCCGGTGCGACTTGTGGCGCGAAAAACTTCACATTCCTTCTCCGTCTCTTGTCCGTTAATTGAGAAAAATTAAATTTTTCGGAACGGGTGGTTAGGAAAAAATTCAAACGAGCGAAGGAATTAAAATATGTTTTATTTCTCGTCAGTCATCTAAGTTTTTAAGGCGTAAACCAGCTACTGGCCTATTCCTAGTTATTACTCTCTGTTTTTTTTTCTTTTAATACTGTGTACGTTAACTAAATTATACAATATATATATATATCGTTCTATCGTTTCACGTAAACAATTCGTGTTTTTTTTTTTTTTTTTTTTTTCCCCGATAAAGTTTCTCTATGTTGGTAATATCAATGACACAGTATAGTAACGCGTGTGAATGTACATATTTTATTATAATGCGTGCGCTTATGTTATCGATACGGTACCTTGTTCTATGAATCGATTTTTTAAACGTCGCTAGTTAGTTAGAATTTCTTACAAATTGCGTTACTAACAAAATTAAGGTGCGCTCGCGGGTATCTCGAGCGATTTTTGCTATATTGTTGCTATCACAATGATTAAGTATCCGCCTCCGCTCTTTAGAGATCTTTCTCTCTATGTGTGTAACTATATATATATATAATATATATATACATATATGTATATATATATGATTGTCACACAATTAACACGCAATCAACAAACTCGTAGTAAGCGGGAACACACGGTCTCAATAAGGAAGGTTTTTTTTTTTTAATAAAATACTCTACCGAATGAAAATACAGTATATATATCTTCTAAATGTATGTATATATATATATATTCTTCTCTATTTTGTTCGAAAATAGTTTACTTATTTAACTATACCTCTCTCTTTTTTTTTTCGCTCTCTCGCTATATAACGCATCGCTCACCAGCCTTGTTCCTTACCGTGTAAGTTCTCTCGTATCGCTCTAATTATAGCGCCCATTGATCGCTCGGTCTCTCGCTCGAAGCGCGCGCGCGGACCTCAGATTTTCGAGCCGTAAGAGAACGAGAATTTAAAGTCATAGTATTTCACGCGAAGTAGTAAGTACTGGAATATATATATGTATAATATGTATATAGGATGTGTGTGTGTGCACACGTATACCGCCGAACGCGCGCATTCGGGATCTACACACACACACACACACACACCGAGAATCTAGATCGATAGAGTTTAAAAACATCGCGTTAGGTACACATGTTCGCACTCCGACTTTACAATCTCTCCGGATCTCTTCTTCTTCACACTTCGAAAAGATCCCGCAAAAAAAAAAAAAAAACGGAAGATCCGTTCAATGCGCGAGGATTTGTGAAGTCGAAAAATTTTTTGGACGTGTCTGTAGAGATATAAAAATATGTATATTTATATTTTATGTATGTATATATATATATGTGTCTTGCTTATACTTATAGCGTATCCGCGAGTGTGGTAAGTACCTGTGCAGTAAGTAAAAGAAAATTGTACTGGAGAATTATCCGTATAGCAACGTGAACAAGAGAAGTATTCGCGCGGATACGTAAAAACGTGCACGTGTATCTACAAATTTAAAGATATGTGTGTGTATGTATATATATATATATATATATGTGTGAGAGTGAAGAGAAGAAAACAAGAGAAGGGAAAAATGGTTTTTTTTCTTTTTCTTTTTTTTTTTTTACACACGGTATGTCTTCACACACGGTCTTCGCATTTAGTCTAGCCAAGCGTTGTCCTCGTAACACGTTTTTTCGATTTTTTTTGGCACTATCCCTTATACCATAGTGCCGTTACAGTAACTTTTCCTGAGCATTGTATCGTCGAGCGCAAACTTGAGGCACTCAGAGGCACCGGTTTTTTTTTTTTTTTTTTTCTACATTTGATTTTTCAAGAAAACAAAACGAAACCGTGGCGTTTGTTTCAAAAACGCGCGCGCGAAAATAATTCATTCGGAAAATCTCACAGGTGGATTTTATCGATTATATTTCATTTTGCCGTAACTACACACATAGTTAAAAAAAAAAAAAAAAACTGAAACAAACAAGAACGGAACGAAGCACTTGCGAAAAGAAGCGATTAAGTATTCGATGCAAACAAGAATCTGTGTTAGATTTCTGCGATTAGAGATACATAAAAAATGAGAACTCGCGCGAAAGATCTCCGGAAAGAAAAGGAGAAGCTAGACGGAAGCAAGACAAATCGCGGAATCAAAGCGTTTGTGCAGTCAAGAAACTATAAAAAACGAGATCCAACAGTCCAAACGACTGTCGACAATCCTTCCTACAATGTATATCGTCTTATCTCTACCTGAGCTACATCACACACCGCTTATCATCACTTCCTATCAGTGGACCCAGAACGCTATTTATATTCCAATCTGATGAAAATAGAACTCTGTATTCTTGGACTGTTGCTAAATACCTTTAGGAGAACCCTGATACGAAACAGGTATACGAGTTTTAAATAGTTTCCGAGAATAGAAGATGGGGAGATGAATTTTAAAAAGAGAGGAGACACGCCGTGATACCGATAGTCAATTAAGGCACAGTCTAACCAGGTAATGGAGCCTCCTCATAGAAGTCCAACTCGTCCTCGACCTCGTGATCGGGTCCCTTACTGTCGAGAGCACGTAGCTCCGCGGCGGTGAAGAAACGGCTCATCTGAGCGCGCAGCGGTATCATCAGGATGAGGAAGAACGGCAGAGCCAAAGCGGCCCTGGTACTCTTGACGATCCACAGAACGGCCAGGCACATGATCTGTATAAAGGTGAAGATGTGCATCTTATACGTCTGAACACGACGCACGTACTTCGCCGATCCGTGGTGCTTGACTGGCACGAAGAACAGCTTGACGCGGTCGAACAGTTGCACGCCGTTTGTCGACGAGATGCCCATGTAGAGAAACACACCCAGCAGGACGGACATCGGCACTCGGCGCAGCAGCGGCGCCATCAGCACACTCACGCCCATCAGTATCGCCACCAACAGAGCGCTCACCCGCTGTTCCTTGACTTCGACGATGTGAGGCTTGTCGCCGGGCGCGTGAGTGCGCGACATCACGGTTACGGCGGACACGTGGGTGAGCGAGCGCACCGACGCGGCGCAGCACCAAGGCGCGCCCATAAAGCCGCACCCCATGTTCATCAGGCAGACCACTACGATGTCCATGTGATAGCCGTTGCCTTTGCGCAATTTGCGCTCTTTCTTATCAATGATTAATCTGCAAGACAGCAAAAAACCAAAAAAAAAACGGTCCGATTAGTCATTAAAGCGAATGTAACTAAAAGATTGATAAAAGATTCGAGTTTACTTACTCCGATATTTCAGTCTCCATAAACACTAGAATGTAAACCAGCATAGCTGGTATCGCGCAGGCCATCATCGCCCAAACCGGAACGGATTCGTTGATAGGAGAAACGAGCCAGCTTCTACCAGGTATAGTCGGGGATAGTCCCTCGGGCACTAACAATTTTTCTGTTTTTACCTTGGTCAGAAAATCGAGCAGAGCAAAAATGACAATGCTGATGGGCACGCCGAAATCGCCGAAGGCTCTTCGAGCGCTACGACCCAAGTAATGACTGTTGCGAAAGATTCTCAAGTAGTAAGCACCCAGAAAGGTGCCCAGACAAAGAATAGTGCACATTAAAGCTGTGTTCGGTTGATTAATTAATAGTCCGGCAATGTCGCGGCTCGGTACGAGTTGGCGGGGATCTTCCAGGCGCACAGTTTCCTCCTCGGTATTGTTCCACGGCGAGACGGTGACTTTCATCTCGGTGACGTAAAGCGGATAAGTGGTGTCATTGGTGGTGTCCGGTCCGAAGCTGTACTCGTGTAGAAGAGGATTGCGCGCGAAATAATTGTAGAGCTTGATGAACGTCTCGACGATGTAGAGAAGGGAGATCAGTCCGGTGAAGATTTCCTCGGTGAAGCGTGTGAAGAGCCGCACGAGAACCGAGCCCTCGACGCAAGCGATCACCAGAGCAATTATACCCATCCAGATGCCGACGTACACCCGCACGGTGAGAAATTCGAGCTCGTACGACAGACACACGTTGTACAAACTCTCGTCGAAGAGCAACAACGGACCGGTCGTGCCGATGATCACCAGTGGTTGAGTGGATATCAGTGCCATTATCACGCCGGTCCAAGAACCGGAGACCAGAGTCTCAGAGATACCGATCAGATTGTGCGTCTTGTCGCTCATCAGACCACCGAAGGTGATGGCTGCGCACAGCGCGGCGAAATACATGAAGATGGCTGCCGCAATGCAGGACGAGTTTAAACCGTCCGTGAAGTCGGACAGATAGAACGAGTAGCGGCGCTTGATATCTTTGAAGAGGCCGCCGAATGGTCGTTTGGTGCGTCGTAACGGATCGTCGTAGTCCTCTGGTGGTTTTTTTTCTTCACCGGCCAGTAGAGCTTCGTTAAAGGCAGTAACGATTAGAATAAATTTAAACATTATCGAAAAATTAGATTCTAATTACTTATTAGTAATCAGATTATTAAAAAAAAAAAATTACCTTTCTTCACAGCTGCCTCACTTTGCACCGGTTTGCTCTTCTCCTCGAGAGCTTTCGCTTTTCTCTTTCTGATAGCCTCGCTTTTCGCCTTGAGCTCGTCGAACGGCAGCAACGCTTGTCTCTCCCAGTCGCCCGGTGGCAATACGATCGAATCGTCCAGGAACTCGTTGATGGCCGAGAGCAACTCTTTTCTCTCGTTTGCTTTGTAAGCGACTTTATGAAATGACGGGTTTGACATTAGCGTGGAGATTGACCGGCCGATCTCGTGATAGTCTAGATCGGCGTTTCTCGGACCCAGCAAAGTGAACATGAATCTGACAGGTATCGTGACCTCCGTGATGGACGGTATGAAAACACCCTCGGCCAATCGCACGAAAGCTATCGTCGGTTGATCTAAAAAGTCGACGGCGCCGACGAGAACGACCGTTGCCTCGGCGCCGGGTGGAATCCTCTTCAGAATGTACTCATTGTGAGTACCTTTCTTCAGATCCTCGTTGCTGCTCATGTACGTAAGTTCCTCCTTTATGTCAACCACGGTGTGGTTGCTGTCGAGCGCCAGATTCGATGACACAATTTTCGGCTTCGCGTCATGCAGATTCTGTCGGGTATTTTAGAGAAACTTTTTAGAGAAAACTCTCTTCTGAGAACTCGCATCTCTCTTTCGAAAAGAGAAACTGTTTGAATTTGCTTTTCCGTAAAAAAAAAACTAAAAAAAAAGAGAATTTTCATTGATTGTTCGAATATCCTGGAATTAGATCAACACCTGTGTGTCGTTAAATAAATTAAGAAACAAACGAGAAAGTAAATTTTTCTACAAATGCAAATTTTCTAACGCAACAATTAATTGTGTTGAACTCCACAAGAACTCGCTCTGACTTCTAACGCGACACACCTGTTTATCTAATTCCACGATATCGCTCGTTGATTTGCAAAGAAAAATTATTAAAAAGTAACGATACAATGAGTGTGTGTTTCCCCACAGAAAGTTGACTTAATTTGTAAGAAGTTCAAGACTAAGAAAAAAAACGATAAAATAGAAAAATGCGCATTTTAATATCTCACGAGAGATTCAAAGGAAGATAAAAAAATATAAACGTAAATTGAAATACAAAAAAAAAAACACATCTTAACGAGAAAGTGTGCCAATGGTGGGAATATTGATTCGAAAACCAAAATACGCTATGTCAGGCTCATTATCGCCGCACAACGTATTCCGAGTGTGTGTACAATGCAAAATAATGAAGATACGGCGTGACTTCGTGCGACGTTCATGTTTTGAGATCACGAATACGCATAATGGAATTTTCACATATTGAACGTCGAGAGACGCGTCCGTATCTTCGATACGAAAGAACAGAATTTGAACAACACAGAAAATTAAACGTAAAAAAGAAAAATGAGAATAAACCAAAATTACAAAAGTAGAAAGCTTTTTTTGAAACATACAGAAGCGCGCGAATACAAAAGCGTATGTAGTTGTCGCTATCGATCAACGCGTGTGTGTGTGTGTGTGTGTGTGTACACTACACGTGAATATTTCTAGAACCAGTTTAGTCCAGATTCTAGGGACCGGTCGCCACTAAGAAAACGTCAGTCGCGAAAGACGAAAATGGAAAAAACTGCAAGCTGTAAATGCTTCTTTGGTCTCGCAGATTTGTTCAAACTAGCAAAGCAAATGCGGCGCCGTCTGCGAGATTTCAACGCTCTAAAGATCGAGAAAATATCAAAGACCACAAAATTAAATGTATATGTCTTACGTTAAAAGCTACGTGTAAACACCATCGGTTATTATCTGACACGTTGTAAATATAATTGTTTATATTTGTCTGCCCTTTGCAAGTTAGTCCAGTATGTTAACTTCGCATTAAATAATACTAAGCTTACACAACAAAACCACAACGTATGAGAATTTTTTTTAATATAAAATTAAAATTAAATGTTGAAAAAAAAGACAGTTAACTCAATGAAGTGTTTTGCTTCGATAATCAACTTCTCTCTCGAGAGAGAGAGAGAGAGAGAAAAAAAAAGAATTTTTGCAAAATCGAAAACGTCCATACACGCCCATTGAGAAGAAAATCCCTCAGTGAAAATCATGCCGGGATTTTACGATTGTAAATAGAATCACAAAACAATTTGTGTGAAAAGTGCGAAGGGGCGAATAAGGGTGAAGAACTATGTGGCGGTATAATAAGAATAAAAAACTGCGTTTGATTCGGGAATTCGAGAGATTTACATGTTGGGTTACATGGTTCTCAGTGGCTTCCCGCGCAGCATCTTCTTCCTCCAGCCAGATGGACTGTGGAAACAACATTAGACACACTGTCAGTCAAACCTATGCTCCTGACCCATTAACGACTACTCACTACTTGATCGCGACTACGCATCGTCCTCGAGCAGGTTGGTCCTCGACAATTCCATTAGCAATTCGCGCGTAAAATGTATTTGTTATTTAACTTAAGTTTCAACGCGGATACATCCATTAGATTTTCGCGTTTGTTACTTTTTTTTTTTCTCTACTTTCGGTCACGGAACTTCTTCGAAACAAGCAATTTACCGGTTATCTCGATTAGATGCAACAGTGTACTCTTCAACACAAGTAAGCTACAAACGCGCATTTGCATAGCAAATTTAGAGTTTGTGAATTATTAACACCTATATTGAGCAACCAATTATCACGGATTCTTGTTATTGGCGCTTATCTACTCTCTCTAGCACAGGCAACCGTTTGTGAGAATCTTGCTTGGTCAATCGGAAGTTGGTTGCTATTTGCGCGCATAGTAATAATGCAAGACGAGCGATTGATCAATGTGCGGCTTACCTGAAGACTGGTGTAACTGGAATAGCTTCTCTTGGCGCCGAATCGAAAGACGCGATCGTGCTCGTGCACGTGTCTGTGCCTGAGCAACAGCGCCCGCATCACAATCGGTTTGTCCTCGGGTAGAATCAACTCCTCAATTACCATCTGCTCGACCACTCTGTAAGCTAATCCGGGCAGATCCTTTTCCTCCAAATCGAGAAGGACCACACCAGTTTCCAGGCAACGGCGAAGATTCAGCAACGAGTGGAAGCTGAGGGAGGCCACGTGAGGCCTGCCCCACCTATCGGCACCCTCCTCAACGTCCTCCTCGTATTTAATCCATCGGGCGGTCTCGCGCCATTCCCGCTCCTCGCCCAACCCTTGCAGTTCGTCCAGCTGAACGAACACCTCGTGCGGCGAGTGATCGTACATTTTTTTGAAGGTGTCATGCGGAATACCGCCCTCCTTCCGCCGACCGATCTGCACCGTTGGATGTGCGGCCTTGTGACGTCGCATACCGCGCGGATCATCGCTACGGTGCGACTCCAAATCGTCGATGTCGAGTTCTTGAAGAGTTCTCGCCTCTTCCGGTTGAACGCTGACGCGTCGTGTCAGCAAGCTCGAACTGTCCGGGAGACCAGCTCCCGAACGTTTGCGCCATTGTGGATCCTCCTGCAGAGAATACTTGCGGGATTTGTAGTGATGACGTCTGCAAGGGTGGAAAAACGGGAGGTGGAATAATTTGATTTCCGTCTTTGTGTGAAAGAAAATTATCTACACTTATATTAATATTTCTTTTTTGAGATATAATTAATAAAAATAAACGGTGCCTGCCGAGCACCTGTATTTTTTTTTCGAGGAAGAAATAATTGTAATTAAAATGAAAATCACATTCTAGAAGAAATTAGGCCTAACAACTCTAATTCATCCGAATTAAACCGTATATCTGATGACATTTGTTTCTTTTTTTTTTTTTTTAGCTTAGTAAATCTTAAAACCGAGCACCTCCGCTTGCGGTACCGCTCCGTACCAGAATTGTCACGCCGAGAAATCTAGCTCGTTGCTCGGAATGGTACGGAATAAAGGTCGACCGTTTCGTGTTCATAATTGTGCGCTGTTGATACATAGTGCAAATATGAATCTGTAAAATTGTACATAAAACTGCGCGACACGAAATGCGCGACCGTTGGATTTAAACTTTCGCTTAAAGATTACGGGATGAATATCGCACAGAGGTATTTCGTGTTGCGCACATACGGATGTTCAAATAACGCGCAGCACCTTTGTGACCTATATTTTCATTTTCCAAGAGAAAAACGTGAATTAATTTACCATCGCAAAAAGCATCGCGACCTCACGCTCTTCTTTACGAACGTAATATTTGTTTTTCTTTCTTTTCTTCCTCTTATACATCATGTTGCGAACCGTGTGTGTCTTACTTGTGTTCGTGCTTCTGATGCCGTCGGCACTTCCGGTCCTCCTCGTGGCCATTCGGGATCTCGTTTGTCGGCGCCTCGTTTGTTCGCTTTTCCGCGTTAGGCGCGTCTTCCTCCTTGATGTTCTCGAACTGCACCCTCGGACTGCCGACGGTCGGGGGGCTGTCCCCGAAACCGGAAGCCGCCCGCTCCGAAATAGGTGCCTCGCTCTCGCTGCTGACTACATTCTCGGTCTCCTCCGCCGTTTCCTCCGCGGCCTCGGCCGCGACGGTTGATTGTCCATTGTTGATCGTCTCTCCGTCGACCTCTAGGGTCTCGTTACTCTTCGCCTGAACGTTGTTGATGTGATCTTCGTCGGCGGATGTTTCCACCGCTGTTCCCTCACTAAGGAGAGACGCAAAGTTTATTTTGGTTTTTCAAGCCCCCAAACTTTTCGCACACGTGTATCATAGTTATTTTATATTACACGCTTCTCGTAAACTCTCGAAAAAGAGATAAAAATCAAGAGTCGAAAGAAAAATTCTTCGCGCGTCTGAGGTAGTTCGGCAAGTCGAAGTTTCTTAAGAAGTTAGTCAAGAGAATATTAAATTAGTCGCACGTGGTTTACAACACGCGCGCGGTGCAGCAATAAAAAAATTGATTGCACGTTGTTGGTTGTGTCTTAATTGTCAACAAATGTGCGGCCGATTGTTACATATTTGTTTCAATATGCAACAATTGTCGCATTATGCAACAACGTTCGCGTTATCTTAACGCAAATACGTAACCTCGATCTAGCGGAACATCACACGTTTTAATTGTTGTTTTTTGAATGACTTACAGGTGTCGTCGCATCGATCTGGAATGCAGGCTCTTCAGGGGCATGTGCGGATGAGGATAACTCCGTTTCCGATGTTCTGAAAGAGAGAGAGAGACAGAGCGTCGTGTGTTTACACACACATTTCGAAGAGAACAATATAATGTACTGTGATAAAAAAAAAAAAAAAAAAAAAAGTGACTTACGATTGAAGTCGCGATCGCCATATCGCGGTGGTGGGCCGCGATCGCGTTCCCGATCGGATCCAACCGATTCCGAGGGCGAGCCGAGCCGGGCTACGTCGAACTTCTCGCCGGTGTCCATCGCGAAGACCTTCTCCATCTCTTCGTCGAGCTCCGGTCCCATTTCCGCGCCATGCCCGTCGACCTGGCATGTCGGACAAACACGTACGTATGTATCAATACCGTCAGACTCGAGAGAGAGAGAGAGAGATCCGTTGTTTTTTTTAATGTCACGGGATCAAAGTCCTCGATAACAAAATCCTATTGTTGTTTGAAAAACCCGAGTCTTTGATAAAAATCTCAATCAAAAGTTTTCTCTTAAAAATAAAAAGACTCGGATAACAGACTCGGAAATCCCCCCCATAAAACGATATCGCTTCCTTATTTTCGTTTTCCGTCGCGTTCCTCCTCGTGTAATAACGGAGTCACGCTATCGCGATTTCTATTAAAGTAAAAAGCGATTTAAATACTCCCCCCCCCCAACTCTCCCCTTACTCTATTCCCTTCCCCCATCCCCGTTGTAACAGCGGGGCACGTAATTTATCGCATAAAAGCGCAACGGGATTAATGCCATATATTGTAAGGGTTCTGCGAGAGAGAAGCGGGAAGAGGAGAAGCTTTGTGTGTCCTGCTCCGCCGCTGCCGTACGTGACGCGTAACTACCATATGTTACGTAAAGCCAGCCTTGTACATATGACTATACACGTCCTTTCGGACGGACAAATGAAATACCGACCAAGTACTAGATGGAATGTCGTTTATCGTTTTCCGCGCGCGCGCACGCGGGTGTTCTCGTTAAAAACTCATATATCCCGTAAATAGAAGTCGTTCCGCAATTGAGGAGATATTCCCTCGCGACTTCTTTTATTTCGCAAGAGAGATTCTCTAATCCTTCTCCCTCTCGACGACGAGAATCTTTTCGCGAAAAGGATCTCGATGTTTTTTGTTTGTTTTTTTTTTTTTCGGAACATCTTGCAGCGTGCGAGAGATAAGTGAATCCGAAATTGTTCTTTGGAAAGAGGCGAGAGAGGGTAGAGCCTTCGCTACCACACTCTCTATGCCAATTGAGGTGGGAATCGATACAGATATCAAGTTCCGCGGAGAGTGTGTGACCCACCCACCTTCGCGCGAATAACCGTCCGGGTTATTAGCGTTATATATTCCGGCAGAGAAATGCATACTCGATCGATCTATTCTGGGAGTCTGATAGATAATGCTATTGAATGAGCGCGGCGAGCGCGCGATGCGCTCAACCTCACTTCGTGTGTGTGTGTGTGTGTGTTATAATGCATATATGTATATATTTCCGTATATATATATTCCAGTACTATTGTCGTTACACACGAAAAAGTATTTTGATGTAAATTTCAAGAAGTGTTTTTTGTGTCAAACACGAGGTCTGATAAGAACGTAATAACTCCCGCGAATTTGGATTCGCTCGTTACATTCTGAAAGAGAGGGAGGGAAGGAGAGAGAGAGAGAGAGAGAGAGAGAGAGAGAGAGAGAGAGAGAGAGAGAGAAGCAATCTATGCTTGTAACAAATTTCGTGTTTCCATCAGCGACAATCTACCAAGTAAATTGTTTGTTCTGTGCAGTAAATTACATTTGCAGTAAATTACATACACTGTGTGTTTGAATAATTAAACTGTTATTAAATCTTACAATTAATCCAGTTTCAAAATGGAAATTGAGATTTTCAAGTTCTCTCATTCCCGTTGAATCTTTCTCTCTCTCTCTTTCTCTCTCTCTCTCTCTCTCTCTCTCTCTCTCTCTCTCTCTCTCTTTCTTGAGGGCTTAAAAACCATGTTGGCAGCGAGATCCACCTGAGTCGTACAACGCTCGCAAATACTCAACGAGCCATTGAGAATCGATGCACGTCGTTACACGTCGAAATCCCGCTTTGCGTCACACGGATCTTTTTTTTTGTTGCTTCTTAAAATAAAATTCGGTCACAGGACTTCTTTTTTTTTTTATCCGAAGGAATTAAAACCAGAGAGTGATCTTCTCTCGATAATTTAAATTCTGACATTTTTTTCTATCGTAGAAAATACGTACAGCGGTATGTTCTGTGTGTAAAAAAACATACGGAGAGAGAAAGAACTCTTTTACGCTACACTGACAAATCTGGCGAATTCTCGAGACGACACATCGGGGAGCAGATTTTCTGGCACGTCATCTGGCACGACTATCAGAACGATCGTTTGTGTGTGCGGTCACCGCAACGGCCAAGTTCTATCTCGCCGCGAATTCTCGTCTCACCGAGAACTTGGTGAAACTTGAAATATCCGTTTCATCACGCGAATACCCCGCCGGTGTTTTAATCTCGAGAAGCGAGATGACGAAATTTTGACGAGCGAACGTTCCCTCGACGCGATTTCCGCATTTCGACGGATAATAATAATTGGATTGAAAAAAAAAAAAAAAAGAGAGAAATAACATCGCGCGACCACACTTCTGGCGCATCGGACCGATTCGGATAAACGGCCGCGCGTTGCATTGTTTCCGTAAAACTTGCGATGTTTCTTTGTGTCCCGTGAGCGAATCGACTGTTTGAACACTGTCTCCGGAATCGAATTTTCACCACAAAGATCTCACACCGACGGTGTCGGTGAAGGGAAACAAGCAGTTTTTCATTAAAAAAAGAAAAACGAAAATTCAGAGCTCGCACATATTTCATGGAGCTTGCGGATCGCCGCCTTCACTGACCGCCTTTCCCATCTCGCACGGATGACTTCACAAGTACCGAGTTTTCTTATACATGCATTATACGTACATACTTCACTGAACAACGTTCGAGTCTCACAAAGGAATGTATTTTGGAGCGCATATTACGGGAGACACGAGGCAAAACTTTGCAATTACGGGACAGTCCGACGTATCTCGGTCAGGGGAAACAAGGCGCAGGACGCACAGGACCCCGGAGGGTGGATGGAATTACCAGATTTCGAGGAGGAACCTACGGACGTTCACCTGGTGCGTCGCCCGCAGAGAGCGTCGTAGCCAGCGGAGAACTTTTCCCCGCGCCCGCTGCAGAAACGACTTCCCGGAGGAACCGGCGGCGGCCTCGGGCATGGCATCCCGGGCTGAGTGACAACCCGGCCGGTCGGCGCTCGGAGCTGGAGGAACCCAAACTGAGGGTGGAGGGTGGCGGCCGCCGGACCCGGGGGAAGAGAAAGAGAGAAGCTCGACGCTGCTGGTGGGGAACGTCGAGGAAGGGGCGGCGGATCGATATCAACCCCATACGCTCAATCGAGGAAGCACAACCTTCGTTTCTTTCCTCTTCCTCGTTCTATTCTCTTCTACGTGCTCTCCCGCAATTCGCCCTCCGCGCTCTTCTCGATTTATAGCTCTTCAGGATTTTCAATCTCCCGTCGCGTAAGTTGATTTCCCGGTGACGGGATGTAAATGTCGAATGTATGCCGTGTTCTTCCTCGCGAAACGACATTAAAAACGTGATTCGTGTTCGCGAGGAAGCAATCATTCGGAAACACGTTATATTCGAAATACGCGCGGAAAACGAAGACGGACGTCCGTTTTTTTCGAACGAAATGAAAATTTTCCATTTAACTTCCAAATGTGACGTGTTTCGAAAGAAACGGATGTTAACGTCCTCACAAACATCTGTTTGTTAACAAAGACTGAAATATAGAAAAACTAAAAAAACAGGATAGAGGAAAAAGGTTCTTCGTGTTTGGGATAAGATAAGGCGCGCGATACACGAAACGTATACATTCTTCGTGTTTGGGATAAGATATACGAACCAACGTCTACGCCTATCGGAGAAAGCTGAAGATTATACGCGCGCGAGCGAAGCGACGGCGAAGATGCGGGCGGAGAGATAGAGAAAGAAATAAAGGACAGGTGATCGACGACGAAGTTCCGAGAGATAGCCGAGCGTTTCTCGTCGAGGAATTTTTGACATTATTGTTTGAAAATATCCCCAGCAAACAATTTCAGGACCGCGCGGACCTGGCAACAGAAACTTTGTTCCGCAGAAACGCTACAAATAACGGAAACATATGCTTTGCGTGCTGCCAAAGCTGTTGACACGCAGACACAAAAAACGCAACATGGTCACCAAAACTCATAAAAACCATATCCTACCGAGGACACAGATGGATATGGATTTGGTGCGGCGGTTGGCGACAAAATCGCGACATCCGACAATCAAGTTGTTTGCTGGGTCTGTACCTGTATGCACACATGTATCTTTACACGTAAATAACATAAGGTTGTTTACAAATCCTTCGGATGGCTCTGATTCTAATAAATCTTGCGACCTCTCGAGCGTTTTGTTCAGTTACGTCATCGATTTCGCACGTTTCATTGGGTCTCGGACCGATCGATCGACTCGAGGACGAGTCACCATTCGATACGAAGGTAAACGAGTTGCGTTTCGGCGCGAAAACCCATTTCCCGTCACTATCGTGATCTCTCTCTCTCTCTCTCTATCTCTATCTCTCCGAGAGAAAAGATAAGCGGACGGGGGGCGATCCGAAATCGAAAAAGCGGAGAAACCGCGCAAGGTGATTGGCGGAAGCTGGCGGGCGCAACAAGTGTCAATCGGCCGTGAAATCCGGGATAAAGAGAAAGGCCTCGGAGTGGAAGCAGCTCGGAGAGCGAAAGAAAGAGAAAACTCGACGCGCGGGAACAGGAGGGGAAAATCGCTCTTTCTCTTTCTCTCTCTTCGCGACCGCAGGTGGGAAAGCTCAGCTGCCGCCGCTGGTGCTGAACGATAGCGGGTGGATGGGCGAGCGGGTGGACGACGGGGGAGCAAAGAACCAGACCGGGTCAAGCCCGGCTAGGCCTAGGTCATAGAGAGGTTTTATCGATCATTGCACCGGAAGAGAAGGAGAAGGCACGCGATAACCACCACCGTCGAGTTAGGTCAGCGTGCTTTGCACGTGTGTTTTGCAGGTGTGTGTGTGTGTCTATAAAGTTACAAAGTAAACCCGACCGTTAAAATGCCACAATTAAAGTTACCGCTTTATTTTCAAGAAGAAACTAAACAAGAGAACACGCTGTAAGTGTAAGTTTCTAAAAGAAGCGCTCGACATTTCAAGGTGTCGCGAACGATTTTCCAAGTGTCGAAGGTGAAAACTTTCCGATCGAAGAAAGAGAGTTTCCCGTTACGGTTTACTCTATACAGTTTACGTTTGCGGTTTTATAATCGGAAATAAAATTTCGCAAATTCTCGGAGAGAGAGAGAGAGAGAGACGCGTCTCTCTATTGCCGCATTTCCGCTCGCGCGCGGCGCGTTTCCTCTCCGCCGTGCAACTTGCTCTATTCGCTCTTCCACAGAGAGAGAGAGAGAGAGAGAGAGAGAGAGAGAGAGAGAGAGAGAGAGCTCCGATCGACCTTGAACCTGAACCGCCGCTCTGCAGCCTCCCTCTGGTTTATTCCCCGGCCGTCGTCGCCGCCGCGCCGGTGGTGACCTTTCCTCCCGAATGCCAACCGAGGGGAAGAGAATCGATGGAGAGTGTATTTAGTGTTTGCCGGGGCCGATAAACGTTCGACGGGATCGGATCTCCTTTTCCTGGACGATGCGATTCCCGTCGGAAATCGATCGTTTCCGCAAATTAGCGAGAAGATGAGATCGCGGGAGCGATTTAAGTCCGCGCAAAAAAAATTTGACACGCGATGTCTCGTGTGGATTTTTGTATCTTCATCTATGGCGAAAGAAAGAGAAGAGAGAGAGAAAGGTTCGAACTTCCGCGAGAGGCAGTCGAGCTTGATGTTGATTCGAGGCGCGTACAAGGCCGGTTTTCTGCGGCACGAAGAGAGACAAGCTCGATTGCGCACCCTTCCGTACCCGTGAACACATACACACACACACGTACGCACAATACATACGAGGTCGACCGCACAGATAGCCAACCCTGCTCGACGAGTTAAACGAACATCCGACCTTGAACTTGACTGGGGAAGAGTGGGGAAAGAGATAGATAGAGAAAGAGAGAGAGAGAGAAAGAGAGAGAAAGCAACGTGTGTGATGGTTCGATCCCGTGACGACGAGAGAATTCGGGAGAGACAGAGAGATACTTGCGCGCGAACGTTGCGTAACGAACGGATGAAGATGATTGTTGCGACGAAGGGCCGCCGCCAAACGTTGCGACGACAACATAGAAAAGGAAACAGATTTTCCCTACCTGTGGGATTGTCGCGAACATACAGGAAAACGTATCTCTCCCATCCAGCGATCGACATGCTCCGGACACGGACACGATCCACCTGTGCACCGCACGGCCTGGGAGACGATCGACGAGATAAAACGCGAGATACGATTGACACTGCTCTTGATAATCGAATTTGCGACTTCCGACCTTGCGCAACCGACGACGGTCTTCTTCGAGCGGCACGTTGGCAGACTCGTTAACACTTCGCATTTATAACGCGCGCACAGGGAGATGGAAACCAATGCGACAACCGGACAAGTGTGCCGGCGGCTCCAAGCGGTATATCGAGCGGCGTATTCGCGCTCCTCCTAATTGTCGCTAAAGCTCGCGCGAATATCCATTTTCCTTCCTCTTTTTTTCAAAAGACAAAAAGTGAGGATGTGTGTCCTCGCGAATTTCCGGGCGGCGTTTCGCTCAATTTGAGTCAGGCGAAACTTCCGGCGAAAAAAAAACGACGTCTACCGACCGACTCCGATCTGGGTCGCGGGCGAGGATTTATAAATCGCGTGCGAATCGTAAAACTATACCGTGGAATCGCGTTGTGGAAATCAAAATGCAAAACACACCGGCGGAACGTCGGCTCTTGTCCTGGACGTGGACGTGGACGCGCTCGGAGGAAAACTTCGGCAAGAACGAGTCGTAAAGGCTTCGCGAATTTTCTTTACAACTTAATAGCGAGTGACGAAAAAACAACGTCCTCGAGATATACGATATTGTCGATGACGATCGACGCGCACACGAGGATTTAAGCGCATTTGGATTCGATTCCCCCGAACTTACGCAATCGCCCGGCGCGCGCAATGATCCCTGCTCGTATCCGACGATGAACGGGGACAAAACACACACGCTCGATCGCGATGACGACCACCAAATGCCGCGGCTCTTTAAATGTCGACTACCGGACGGTGTCACGGCGAAACGAAATATAAAGAGCGCGAGTTTGTCGGCGCGCGATCGCGGAAATACTTTGCGATCGAATATAAAAGTCACGTGCGCGATCGAGCGCGCTCTCCCGATCGTTTTGCTGCCGCGATTCCGCCGCCACCGCCGCCACCGCCACCGCCACCGCCTCGCATACATGGTGGTGTCAAATGGTTATTGACCCGCGACCGTCAACAATCAGGCCAATCAGTTCTCCCTGCGCGGCTCGAGGTCGCCCCGCTTTTCACGAATCCACGTCGCGAGTAGCGGCGAGGAGACAACCGCGATGTAGCCGCGATGTAATCCGCCACGCTATCGCACAACGGAGGAGCGGTTTTTCTGCCGCACTGTTTCGCCGCGCAACAAATGTGCGACACGACCCGCGTCGTGAAACCTCGTTACATCTGCTTGTACTTTCGTGAACACAACACACGTGTCGAAAATGAAATCTCGTTTGTTTAGTCGATAAAAAATGAGCGACAACATACCTGCGTCGCTTAACGCGTGTATGTAATTTGTTTCTCGCGATTCTATCGAGGAACGAATATCGCGACCAGAATCCGAAGGAAACTCACCGCGACGGGTTAAGAGTCAACGTACCCGCCGCCGTTTCGAGGAAACGCTTTCCGGAACGCCGCTGAAATTGCGGTTTCGCGTTACAGCCGCCTCTCGTTAATTATCCCCGCGTCTCGTCGTCGAGAGGGAGAGAAAATTCAACCAGGAGAGAAGAGGAGGCAAAAAAAAAACTGCGAGAGACGCATCTTCAGTTTTTTTTTTTTTTTTTTCTATCTCGCTAAAGAAAAACGAAAACAGAAGAATAATCGAACAACAAATATTTGAACGCGAAAGTATGCGCCTGTGATGAGCGCGCGAGGAATCTATCGCGCGCTAATCGATACGAAGGATTCTCAGAAGCGAGGATCCAAGGTACAAAGAGAGCGCGATATATACGTACGTGCGGGTCTTCTGTGGAGCGCCGTAACGTTGCGCACACACACACGCACGAAGAGCGGTGGCATGCGGCGATATTATGTCACCGAAGTAACGCGATACGCACTTATTGTAGTAAGAGTGCATGCCGGTGTTGATATCGTTTTATCGGTATGTCGCCGCGATTGCTCGATGTTACGCGCGACGGCCGATATGCGCCCGACGGCTCGGAAACTTTCTCTATCTCGTTCGAGATTTTCGTTCCCGCGCGCGAAAAGATCCTTCCTCGCTCTTTTTCTCGAGTCTCAATCCGGTCTCTTTCCGCGCTCGAGGAACGAAAGTTACGCTTGTTGCGGTTACTCGCGCGGATTTTTATTGCATACAAATTTAAACGAACAAATCGCATCGGCCCTAAGTTCTGTAGCGCTTAAAAAAATCAAACGCAACAAATGTCTGCGGCTGATCTCGAATTGTTTTTTTTTTGTTTTTTTTTTAGGACGAATCTATGATGAAATATTCTTCTTCCTGTCGACTGTATCAAAAATGCCGTCTATTTTCTGATCGAGCGAATGGTTTTGCGAAAAGAAGTTACGTAAGAAAGAGTAGCATGACGGCCCAAAACTGTTGTTGGCTTGTGATACCGAAATCTAAATACAAAATGATTGTGACAAACGGCAATGGTACTAAGCCAGTCTACGGAATTCGTCGAGATACGTCCGTTTCCAATTTTAACTTCTGTGAATAAGACACTTTTATTGGCATTTTTTACTTACCGACACCCGTCTGCCAAAGCCGAGGAAGGAAAGCTTCCTTCTGGATCCATCGTTGTGCTCCATCTTTCACCGGCCGTAGCCGCGATAACCGATGGTGCCCACCGTTGTCGTTTTAGGGCTGTGTCTTTTTCCTGGGTGCTCGGCCGATCCTGAGTTGGGACGGCGATGTCCACATGTGGAGTAGTCGCTGTGATGACAGCTCCGTTCTGCCGGCTGCCAAAAACCCAAAGTCGTCACAATTAGGCTAGATAAAAGCCCGCCCACAAACGCGCGATCAAACAAGAGAGAGAGAGAGAACGAAAACACAGTTTTTTTTTACGTTATTCATTCATATTTGGAACACTTTCACTTAAAAGACGAATAATGAATAATAATAACAATAACAATAATAATAATAATAATATTTTGCACGTACATCCAGCGCTTGCCTCTAATGGCCTTCTTTACTCGCTTAAAATAATTGAATATTATAAGAGTTTACGATCTGTACAATTTTTATATTATTTAGTTATTTTTGTTAACATATAATAACAAAATTAAAACAAAATAAAATTATTTATAACACGAATTACCAGTCTCGCCAAAAAAGTTCAACGTTATAGATCGGTCAGTCTCGTTGTTCACTTTAGTGTTTCGAAATATTTCATTGTTTTTTTTGTGACATTTTTTTATTCCGTTTCGACAGAGAAGAACTCTCTTAAAAAACACTGAGAATCGCGAGTTAACTCTGTACTCACGTTCGCGCACGTGATTACGAATGAGGACGCGCGGACGGATCGAACGATTATCTCTAGCAAGGCAAGTATCTTTGATAAAAGAAAAAAAAAGGATGTAAACCTTTCGAGGAAACGACAAGCCTGTGTATCAGGACTCGCGCGAACGAACTTGTTTCACGGACTAACGAGCGCAAAGAGCTCTCGAGCGGTACTGAGAGAGATACACACTTCATCAAAAGTGACCCACGACCACCGGGCAATTTCTAAGCCTCGTCGTAATACTTGAAGATACCTTAGAAACGAAGACGGCTCTGCCAAAGCGCGACGATAATTAGATTTCGTTCGAGATGCAGTCACAATCGAAATTGAGTCGCGGCTGCGCCTTTGCGTTTTTCTCGCGGCAAAAGCTCTTTTTTTTTTTCTTTTTCGCTCGACGTTTGTTTCCCTCTCGACAATTTCTCCTCCATGAAAAGAAAAATCAATCGTCTGCCGGCGGCTTATCTCGTTATCTCTTTACGTTACGTGTCTTAATCTTTTTTATCAATTTTATTTCGCGACGCGATGGAAATAATTGCGCGCAGAGTTCGCGGGAACGCGCGCGCGCGCGCGGAACAATCTTCTCCCTCGTTTCTCCCGATTTTTGCGAGCCTTAGTAGTAAATGACAAAAGATGACGCAACGACACACACCCCGACACTTTTCGTTTCTTGACACACACAGCGGCGACTGTATCGGCAATCAACATAATTCAGTCTGTCACGTCGGTCTGACATGTAATTTTCGTCTTTGTTCTACCGCACAATTGCGCAATGACAATTACACATCAACGTTCGGTTAAATTAAAAAAATTCTCTGTTCTCTCTTCGCGCGCACACGTACCTGCACGTATCGTGTTACACGAGTTATTAAATATCCGGCGTGTATGTATCGCAAGTTACTGTACGCTATTATATTAATTTTTTTTTTTTCATACAATTTGACGTGGTATTTTTTAAACAATATGTGGTATTATTGCGTTATCTAAATTTTTAAGTTCTAAAAAAAAAAACGTACGATAATCGGCAATACCTCTCTTCACGCGTGTTTCTGGTGCGCGCGGAGGATTCCAAAATATATATATATACTTTTTCCTCTGCACACCGTCGAGAACCTCGCGACAAATCACCAATCCTCCTCACGAACTCGACACAATAATACGATCGGCCTTATTGCTGGAAAACAGACTGCACATACACGCGGTATTGCGCGAATATATAGGAGATATACGGATCTAAAGATCGTGCCACAACGAACGAGCGTTGCTCACACGTTTGTCTCGTTTGTCGTTAAAAAAAAAAAAAACAAAAAAAAAAACAAAGAACGGAATTAGTTTAAGCGCAGCGAAATCACGACGCGATTATTTTAATCGCGACTTTTCGTTTGCGTCCCATTGGGATCCTTAAATCTCGCGTCATCCGCGTCTCCGTTTAAAAATCCTCTCGCGTGAAAGCCTCGCCGACGATACACCTGGCGTGTGAGGTTTCTCCTCGGTGTGAAGATCCTTTAAACCATTGTGGCGTTATAATGAGAAGATCTGGCGGCGCGCGGCACGAGACGCTTCATTTGTCGTCGCTTGTGTTTGGCAAAAAGATCTTTTGTGAATGTAACATCTGCTGCGACTTTGCGTCAGGTTCTCGAGTTGTTTTGCGGCGCCTATTTTTACGTTGTCTCTGCGCGTCTTTATCCCTCGGGTTTTGTCCGTCGCACGTGCAGCCATGCGGAGCCGCCGGCAGCAGCGACGACGACGACGACGACGACGACAGAATCACGCGTCTGATCGATCATCTTTGATATTACGGGATGAGATTCCGATTCTCTCTCCGCTTGTGACACGCGATATTCCGTACATACACTGTCGGTCAACAGTACCTTTATATCTTTCCACGCTGACTGGAAGTAAGTATTGCGAGCCCGCGACAACACCAAGCGGCCGATGTCCGGATCGAACAAATGCGGGGTTCATTAAATTTTCCTCGACTTCGAAACTATATTATATATAATTATTATCGAACGATAATGCAACAATAATGTCGCGGGAGTCGTTACGCAAAATCGATCGAATCTCACGTTAGATACCCCGCAAAGCATTTCGTTTTTAGTACAAATGTAAAATAAGTTATTAAAGTGACATATGCAGCAAGTTCCGCGCCGCACGGGTCTGCTGAATTAATTTTTAATACGCATTCGACGATTAAATTATCGATCGTCGCTCTTTGCCGCACGTTTTCAAATGTTCACGAAAACCAGATGCGCGAATAATTCAGCGCGAATACACGCGGACACACGACGCGCTACAAAAAAAAAATATTACTATAAATAAGTGAATGTGCATTACGTACATGTGTGTGTGTGTGTGTGTATGTATACGGACAGTCAAGGTTTATGACCGAGCTCGGATTGTTAAATTACAAATGTTCCGTGAGCAGAAATATATATCAGCTAAAAAACTGTGCTACGTCAGCGTCATGAATTGTTCACGAGTATTTTACACACACACACACACATATAGAGCGCGACACGTAATAATATAAATAGAAAAAAAAAAATACACTTTTTGATACGCAACATTTGCCGACAAAGTCAAGAAAGAGCAAAAAGAGAACATATCGTTCCATTGAAAAAAAAAAACCAACACCCTATTGTTTTCTCAGAAATTATTTTCCACCTTCGAAAAGAAATAAAAGTTTTTTCTTTTCTCGAAGGAGTAGCGCGTTCCGACTTTTTAACCGTGATCAATCTTGCGCAAGGATTTCTCGGCGATACTGATGTATCGCGGCAGGACATTTCTCAAGAATCCTGCGCGTGCAGACGGGACGCAAACACAATTCGAGAGAAAGGAGCGCTTTAACGTTTCCTCTCTCGCATCGCCTTTCTGGGACAAGGTTATATAAGTGGAGGGACCACCGCTGAGGTTTTTGACCTTGTGTGTGTGTGTAAGAGATTTCACCGAACCCTGATATATATATATATACATATATATATATATATATATCACTTTGCACGTATCCAGTGGTGCCATGTTTAACGGTGTGTCGTCCCCATAAAGAAATCCATTAAAACCCAAGAACAATAGGAATGACTTTTACCCGACGCTGCGCTACGTTTACACGTTTATTTATTCCGATAATGTAACATTTATAACTGCGTATTGAATTTCGATAATACGATAAATTTTCTGCTTAAAACAAACGTGATATCCATAGAGTTTCAAAAGAGTACGCTCTTGCGTGTGTGCGTGCAGGCTACATGTCCTTTCGCGAGCCGTATATATATACGCGCACGTGGTCCATAGTGAGACCAACAGTCAACGTCGTCGTTTACGCTCCAGGCGATATTTTATTTCTCAGGCAGAAAGAAACGAGAGCGTTCCTTTTGTAACCGTCGGCGGGGCGGATAAACTCTCTTCTTCTTCTCTCGTGGAAAATTCCATGCCGGGAGCAACACCGAGGGCAACGCAAAAAGATAGCCTTCCTTCTTCGTCTTCTTCTCTCTTCGATCCGACAATCTCCTTTTCTCGCGATCTCCGCGACCGCTCGGTTTCATCTCGCGAGAAATGCGGGAGAGATAATTGATAGGTCGCATTTTGTTTCAATATTTTAGTCATTAATTGTGTCATTAATTGTGTCATTGTTATTTGCGGCTCGATTCGTTCATTTTCCTTTCGAATCGCAATCGAGAGAAGACGAAGATTTCTCTGTCTCTCTCTCTCTTTCAGAGAAATTAAGTCGATGTAATGCAACGTGTGATGTGTTCAATGATAAAGCGTCGCAGAGCAGTTGACAAACTTTACGACGGTGTCACATCGGCAATCACGCGCTACAACGGCGCGGTCGACGATTGTTAATTGGACGCAATTAACATGTCGCGTCCAACGATCGTTACAATTATTACGCGTGCCGTCTTCTCTCACACGTGATCTCACGCTTTTTCTTTTTTAATTCATTATTCCCCGTGACTTAATTTCTCTCATCTCGCGCGAGAGATGACGCGAGACTCACGCGAGTTGTTTCTGTTTCCGAAAGAAAGGAAAATCAAAAAAATCTTGAAGATACTCGACAAAAGTTTCGCGTTAATTTTTTTTATTTTTTTTATTTTTTTTTCAAGTGTAATCGTCTTACACTTTTTCGATTGCCGATACTCAGCGATACCGGTTTCGTATTCCGGACACGTGACGGAGAACGGGGTGTGACGAGAGCGCGCGCGGTGTATAGAATTTCAAATTGAACGAACGCGAACGGAAAGAGATAGAGAGAGAGAGCGGTGTGTTGCAGTTTTTTTTTTTTTTTTTTCAGTGTGCGAGAGAAACGGTTTATTTCAATTTGATCGAACTCCGTAAAGGAATTGCGTCATTTATTTTTATTTCGTCTCTCTCCGCCGCTTTTGTGTACATTCACAGAATCGGAATTGAAATAAAATTGGACTTGAAACAGACGCGCGGCGTCTAATTGTGTGTGCGAACAGCGCTAATGACCACGGTGTAAATCCGGTATGCATAATGCGTACGAACTCGAGGAAGTCTGATAAATATTCCCTATCAAAACCGCTGATAAAACAAGCGATGCGCGATACAGGATATCTTTAATTAAAAACAATTTATGTGACAAATTGTGCGAAGAGCAAACTTCGCTCGCTTACAAATATTCTTATTTCTCAAGACTTTTAATTTTTTTAATTTCAAAATAAACATTATAATTCTAAATAATTCTTTACATCCCGATTGCCGTCAAAGAGACACACGTTTTCTTCTCCGAAAACGTGCGCAACCCCACGTGCTTTGTAACTTCTATGACGTTGCGTCACGGCGCGCGAAATAACTCCGGCGTATTTCGCCACTCTTTGTGTAAAAATAAAAAAATAGAAAAACTTATTGTGATTTTTAACACCTCGCTGAACATTATCGCAGAACATTCCCGGGGGGAAAAGGAGCGCGTAAAACGCCCGCGGGTTAGTGCGTTGAGAAAAAACACTGCGATTTTACTTCTCGCTTTTTTTTTGTGATGTCGCAATTCGATATGAGAGACAGGAGAGAGAAAACAAGAAGCCTTCAAGGTTTATATTACTAGAACAAGAACGTTTTTGCGCGCGGACAACTGTTTTTTAAAGATTATGCAAATCTCTCAATAGGCGCGGGCCGAAACTCCCCCGTATGGGGAACGAGGACGTGGTGCGTGTATGTGTGTGTGTGTGTATGTGTGCGCGCGCGCGCGACGTTTCTCTCTCCCTCGCCATAAACGATGATGATTCATCGTCACGAGATGTCGCGTGCACGATTAAGCTCGTTGAAAGCGAGACCGCCTCGTGACTTCGATGATCGAACCCGCGAGACTTCGATAAATCGTCGCGCGATAATTTCGCGCGGACGCGCGAGCGATTATGAACGCGCGGACGCCGCGACACGGGGGAGGAGATCCTCCGAGGGTGGAAGAATCCTCTTTCGGACTCTTATTCACACACACTTGCGTAACTGAAAATCACCGCGCGCGAGAGAGAGAGAGAGAGAGAGAGAGANANANAGAGAGAGAGAGAGAGAGAGAGAGAGAGTTACGCGGAAAGCTTTATCGTCGATGAATCATATTTTATCGTTAGAGCACGTGGCCAAAAAACGCACCGCGGCATAAGTATCTCGTTATTGAGGCAACGCCTAAAAGTCGTGCCAATAATTGTCACCAAACAGCGAGCGTGAAAAGGTCATTAACAAGTTTTTAAAGACCAAAACGTTCGGTTTCGTAACATTACTGTCTGTCTCCGAGACCGCAAAAAGGTAGGTCTATAATTGAAACGAGAGTCGAGTACTCGATGAGCGAGCACACACTCTTACTAATTGTTCTGTTTGTTCTCTCTCGTAAAAAAAAAAAAATACTCACTTGTTGCTCGAGAGAGAAAATTGTAATCTTTAAAACCGAAACACACACACACACGCTTCAAGAAATGTTCGCTAAAATAAATGCACACGTCGAAATAATTAAAACGGCCTTGAGGCGCAATAATATATTTTACGACGAACCGATTGAACTTGAACTACGAATTGCGTTTAGGAAAATTTGATTAGATAGACCGGCAATAAATAAAACGACGCTCGCGTGCAACTTTTATCGAGTCAATCGCTTCGGACGGAACTCTGAACGAGCTCCGATATGTGATTGCGAATTGACGTTCTGGATTTCATGAATTGTTCCAGAGCA